TAGCCCCTGGGCCTAGTGCAGAGAGCGAGTGAAAATGGCCCTGTGGCTGGCGTCTTGGTTAGCGTCTCCCAAGCCCAATGTCCAAGGCCTCTCAGTGCAGCCACCTGCCTTTGGGGCAGTCACCACCCTACCCGAAGGCTCCGACCCAACCCACTGGGCCGCTGTCTGGATGATGTCAAGTTCGAGCACAGCGTGCGCGTGTCTGTGTGCAGGTGGAGAAGAGCAAAGCTTTTCTCCCGGTGGCTCAGGAAAACTTCAGATGGTGGACGTCACACTCCGAGAGAGAGGGCCAAGTCCACTGGGCAGCTTGGGAGAAAGGTCTGGCCATCCACTTATAAAAGCCAGCTGTGGACACCCCATGGGGTAGGTCCAGTCTGGTCAGGAGGCCACTGCAGCGGGACTGGGGGGAAAGGGTTCCCTCTGACAATTGATAGCAGGAGACCAGGAGGGGCGTTCTCCTCTGGGACCCTGCACCCCTTCTCACGCTTCCCACCACCATCTGTCCCGGAGAGCAGCCATTGGGGAGCGTCCCATCCTTCTCTGCCGTCAGCAGCTTCCCACTCTCCCTGGCCCTGGGCCCTCCGGTGCACTCACATTGGTCACATTCCTTAAGCACACGTGCCCGCTGGAGCTCAGCGTGTTGAGGGAGTGGCCAGAGCCCTCCGTCAGCAGAGAATGGAGGTGGCTGGGCCTGGACAGGAGCGAGTGGACAAAGGGGCCCCGTTTCTCCCGCTGCCGCCTCTTGATCGTTTGCGCGTGTTCACGTGCGCACACACCCATGCCCCAGTATGACTCGTCATTGGGGGGCTGCGATGGGAGGTTTCTCGTTGCAGAGAGCTCCCCACTTTGGATGCGAAGGAACCACGAAACGCCATGTTGTTGGCGATAGAATTCATGCAACCCAAGGGAGCGCCCAGGAGGACCGCTGACCGGCTGCCCAGCGGCCCAGGCAGTTCACCCTTGAGGATGAGCTTGCCAGGCCAGTGGGAGAAGCAGCATCGTGACAGTCTTAGGGAGCCGGCTGATAGTGCCCACCCCCTGCCCCTCTGACCCAGGTCTGTAGGAGAATCCTCACCCCTCCTGTGGGCAGCATGCTTCACCAACAGACAGCAGAAGAAAAGAAGACCCCGACGCCAGTCTCATTAAACATTTATTATTGTATTTCAATATCCCAGCACGGTGACAGCTCCCGTGACAACCAGGAGCCAGGCATTTCTGGCGGGAGTCGCTCACGCAAGGCCGCGGGCCCAGCGCAAGGGTGGTGTGTGTGACAGTTGGGAGGTTGGTTTCTGACATTTGGCTTTATTGTACCCTCTCAGCACTGAGGTGTTGCTAATGGACATGCGTGAAGCCCACACCAGGCGTGCAGGATTAGAAGGGATTAAGACACGCTTGGCGGCCCCTCGTCCTCCTTCCGAGGGGCCTGGACGCCTGTGTGGGAGACGAGCTCAACTGAAAAGGTGCAGATCAGTCTGTGAGCAGGGCCAGCGGGGAAGGTCAATGTGTTAGAGGGCACGGGGGGCGGGCCCAGCGTCTAAGGCACTAGGACTGATCATGGAGCGTTAGCTTGTACAGTTAGTACGGCCGCATGCACTGCCCCTGCAGGCCCCTCAAAGCTTCAACGGGCGAATGAGAACACTATCACCCCTACCCTGACACGCCACCTGGGACCCACCCTCTGGGCGTTCCTCCGGACACAGGGCTGGCTCAATGGGGGAGGCTGCTGGGCTCCGGACACCCAGGCCACGGCGCGGTGCCGGCGCCGTCCCATGGCCAAGCCGCTTCCAGTCGGAGGTCCTTGCCAGCCCGAGCTGGACTTCCCCTCTTCTCTCTGCGCTGCGCACGCATGCTCACCTCCAGCCGATGGGGTGTGGTGAGCGGACCCGCCCGAGGGCACCTCCTCTCGCTGCACCATGCACACCGATTCTACCAGCCGCCCGGGCCACCTCCACATACCAAAACTCCTTCAGTGGGCCGTCCCTGGCTGCCGATCCTGTTATGGGGACGAGGGCAGTGGAGGTGAGAGGAACCAGCGAGCAGGGAAAGAAAACCAAATAAAGCCAGATCGGCAGCCGCTCCGCCTGCATGGGTCTCACTCCCTGGGCAGTTTCCACGGCAGTGGCCGGTCCCAACAGGAGGCTGGGGCACGGGATTGGCCCGAGCGCCTGCACAGGGCGTAGCGGGTGAGTCCCCAGGATGTAAAAGAGTCGTGTTAGCCACACCTGCGTCTCCAGCCGGGTGGGGTAGGGGGCCCACTGGGAGCACAACATCACAGGCGTTCGGGAGGATGGGCTGGAAGTGGGTGAGGGCAAACGGGTTAGGACGTTAGGCAGCAGGGTTAGGAAGCGGAACACGGGGTTCTGTCTCGGCCTCGGGGAGCTTCAACGCCTCGCCATGGGGGACCCCGAGCGACTGTCTCCTCCTCCCTGGGGAGAGAAGAGAGCAGAGTTAGGGTGGGGCTTTGAGACCCCTCTGGCAGGTGACACCTCCCCCCCTCAAATACAGTGCTACAGAGGGGAGCAAGGCAGCCCATGCCTCAGCGTGGCCTACCAACGTCTAGGCCGTGGCCTCTGGGAGTCCATCACCAGGCTTTTGAGATTCCACTAGGCGGAGGGATGTGTGTGTGTAACTCAGTCCACCAGCTGTTTGTCAGCAGCGGAGCACACACCCCAGCCAGGGTCGGGGCCCAGGCTCAGCCCGATGCCCTGAGCACAGAGCTCTAACCCTAGCCTCAAGCTGGGGTGGGCACTCGGGGTCTGTCCAGGGGAACCCTAAGCAACTGGACTGACTGATGTGCTGGCCAGCTCACTGGTGGTGACTGCTTACCCTGAGAAGCGCCAGACCAGCACCCCTGTCACCACAGGGGGCCGTCCTCTTGTGTCCCGCGCCCTCACGTCCGCCACACCAAGGCAAGCATGCTGCCCAGAGAGGTCGCCTACAAACTCTGACCGGAAAAGACCCTAAAACCACAAACCCCACATGTTTTCCGGGACAGCTAAAAGATGCCCCAGAAACGCCTCCCTCTTTATTCCTGGCTGTGAACTCAGACCTGAGCTGGCAGCTGGGTCCTTTAGTTGCTGGACCTCCAGGAAGCAGGGAGCAGGAGGGCGGCTCCAAGGGACTCTGAGCCAGCCTGGGCCGTCTGGTTCTTTCTCTGCACGTCCCCTGAGGACACGGGGGCTGCAGCCCTGACACGCCTTGCACAGCACGGGGGGCTGCCCAGAGGCCCAGCTGTCCATTCGCTTGCTTCTCCCCATGTTTTCTCCTCCGGAAAGAGCCTTTGTATTCTTGCTACATGACCGGTTTATGGGATTCCGCTCTTGGGAGGTAGCAAGGGGACCCCTTCCCCCAGGGGGACCCCTTTCTCCATGTCCTGGAATGGGGTTCCTGGTGCTGCCTTGGGGGTGTGGGAGGCTGGAACTTGCTGCCTCAGGAGAGCCACCCGCAGAGGAGACCCCCATCTTGTGAATTTCTGTGAGTGGAGCTGTTTGCATGTGTAAGCCCCCAGGGGCTGACCAACCACCGCAGGTGGAGTGGGTGTGGGAAAAGGGACACCCTCTGGGCCTCCTGGTGTCGACAGGGTGGGGGTCGGGGTAGGGCCACGCCACCCCCACCTTACACTGCATGGTTAAGCAGGAAGTGCCTCCCCATGGTGCCCCTCGGACCAGGGCAAGCCTAGGCCTGTCTCTCTCTACACCGTCTGACAGCCCGATGGCATGCCCCGCCCCGCCCCGCCCAGGGCTACAGCTACTCCAGGGACAAACAGGCTCAGGTGAACCTGCCTCTGTATGTTCTCTGACTCGAGTCTGGGCCCCAGGCCGCTGCCCTGTCTCGATCAAACAGCTGAGGGGGTGGGGGTGGGTTGCTCTTTCTTCCCAGCTCAGCTTTTTCACCAGGCCCCCACTTCAGACACAGCCCTTTCCTCTCAGGCTGCTTCCCCACGGGACACAAGGCAGCAAACGTCTAAACCAGGCCTAACCCACAGCCCTCCAGTCAACCCCGCCCCATGGCGCCCCATGGCCTTCACTGCTGCACCTTCCTCCTGGGAGCCGCTGGTGGGTTCCAGCCACCAAGGGTGGCCCCCAAGATCGGGCACCAGGCAACTGAAAAAGATGGGGACCAGCCGGCCTCCTCGTGGACACTGCGCTCACTCCGGCCAGGCACAGACGAGCCTGTCTCCACCAGGCATGTGGGCAGCAGCGCACAAGCAGCTCTGTCCCTGTGAACGGCCATCTCCCTGGCTCATACCTCCCACCTACAGGGAACGTAGCAGGTGGAGTGAGCTTTGTCTCCACCTCTGAGAAAGCTTGGCATCTCTGTGGGGGTGACGCCAGGGCCCTGCAGCTCGAAGCCCCCACTGTTCCCATGGCCACTGGACTCTGCATCCCCGAGCTCCCTGTCCAAGGCCTCCTCGACCCAGGCCACGGGAGGGAGCCAGCTGGACTCCTGTCCTCTGGTCAATGTTGACAGTGTCCCCTCCTGCCCATGTGCTGTCCTGATCGTCATGGCCACCCTCAATCTCCTCCTCCCGTTCCCTGAACCCCTGCACCTGCCTGCTCTGTTAGTCCCCATGGGTGAGCCTGGTGCTTGTCTTGTCCCGGGGCAGCAGGGACTTGTGCCTCCTGTCCCCACCTTCCCGTCCCGTCTCACCCCCTCCACCCCAGAATAGGGGTCCTCGAGAACAGATGGGGAGTGGGGGCCACATTACCAGCTTAAAGATTTTGGACAGCGTGGTCTGGGCGTCACGGGCACCCCGGAACCCCTTGTGTGCAGAGCTCGACACCCGGCTTCCGTAGCCAAATCCCGGCTTCTGCCCCTCCGCTCCCTGTAAGAGAAGATACATTGCTCAGCACCCTTGGCAGGGTGGCCGGGGTCTGGAGCCCTGGGGACACTGGGAGGGGCCAGGAGGCTCTGTGGGAGTTGGGGCTCAGGTACGCTGCTCCTGTGGTGGCATCAGTGAGGCCGAGGCAGCTCAAATGCATTGTTCCCTGCCTTCTGTCAGCTGCGGGCCCTCCCCAGAAGTGCTGGCTTCCAGAGACGCTTAGCCACTGTCGGTCACTGGTAAGCAAGGCCTGGGACAGCTCTCCTAAGTGTGGGTTGGCTCCGGGACCTCAATCAGGGCAGCCCCAGCGTGCTCCTGCCATTTAAGTGCAGCCCCACCCCCACCAGCCCACCCACTGCCAGCCACCTCCGCCAGGAGCCATCTTCAGGGGGGTGTGCTGGTGGAAGGACATTACAGAAGCAGGAAGGGGGGAGAAGGGGCCATGACAAAAAGAGGGATCTAGCACCGGCGGCCACTGTCCATCTTGCAGGCCCCTCTGGACACGTCCACGCCCTGCGGGCTGCGAGGAGGAGCCCTAGTTGCTCCCCAGCAATCCCAGCGCCTTTGGGAACTAGAGTCAGGATGGAATCTGAGATTAGTGGCCTGCTGGGTGTTCCCCCTGCCCTTTGACCTTTGCCAGGTCTGGAAGTCCGGCCTCAGGATGCATCTACCTGCACACTGGAGCGGTAGGAGCTGCAAAACAGAGGGCTGTGCGGAGGAAGGGGGATGCTTAGGAGAAAGGAGAGAAATGGGATGGACATTGGAGGGCCCTCAGAGGAGGCAGCAATCTTGTTAGAGGGGCTGGCATGCACTGGCTGGCTGGCTGGGGGACTGTCCTTCATCCCACCTTGCCCCAGTGCAGCCAGGGTTGTGAGCTGGCTCAGGGACACTGTGCCTAGAACACGCAGGGGCAGACAGAGCAGCCGTGAACGTGAAGGAAGGTCTGGGGACAAGGTGGAGTCTGTGCCTCAGTATCTCCTTCGTCTCCTGCTGCCACAGAAAGTGAAGGGTTAATCGGCGTAGGTCCCGTGGTATCATCCCCCGCAGGTGTGTGGACAGGGAAGGCAGGCTCCGAGGGAGTATACGCTAGACTCTACAAGGCTTCTTAGTTCACAGCTCCAGGGGGCCACACCCACTCCTCACTGAGCCACCTGCTCAGGTCCCTCTGTGGAAACGGAGAGTGGCAGCATCCTTAGGTAACCGCCAGCGTCCGGAGACGCCCGGCCCAGCCGAGGCGACGCACAGGCACCCACATGGCCAGCGTTGTCCTGGCCTTGCTCCTGTGGGCTCGCTGCCAGCAGGAGACGGCCTCCGTGGGCGTCGGCCGGTGCCCGTGCCACGAGACTCGATGGCGATAGGTGACGACCAGGGGTCCTGCCGCATCACTCAGGACTTGGGGGACTCTTCCCCCCACCCCCTCCCGCCCCTCGGTCATCCGCCTGCCCCGTTTGCCCGCCTGCTGACTGACTGCGCACAGCCACGGTGCAGAGGGAGGACTGCTGCCAGGCACCCACAGGCCCTGACCTCCAGGGACTGCCGCCCGGAGGCTTCCGGAAGCCTGCTGCCTGGGGTCCACAATGGACATGTCTTCTGGAAGCCTGTTTCCTGGGGTCCACAGCGGGCAAGGGCTTCTTAAAGCCTGCTTTCTGGGGTCCACAGCGGGCAGGGGCTTCTTAAAGCCCGTTTTCTGGGGTCCACAGCGGGCAGGGTCTTCTTAAAGCCTGCTTCCTGGGGTTCACAATGGACGTGTCTTGTGAAAGCAGAGCTTCAGCAGGGGCTTCGGATGGACGAGAACTTCTAACATTTTGGTCAGCAGCTTGGAGCTTACCGCCTGGCATCTGACACGACGTGTGTTTATGAGCCGTTACTAGTCCGATGACTGAGGTTGGCATCTTTCTCTGGTGATCAGAATAAGCCCCTCCAACCACCGCTGCCCCCTCAGATGGGCCATGTGGTGGCTCCTCGGGGCCGAAGCTGCGGTCACTCTGCCAGGAGCGGTTTCTCTCAGACTCCTCTCCCTGCCTGGTGGGAGGGGAATAGGCCATGGGTCCCCAAATCCTGGGCTTGAAGAGCGGGCTCCTGGAGCCTGAATGCGGGCCGACCGGGAGGCAGCTCTTAAAGGGGCTGCAGCTATCTCCTCCTGCAAGGTCCTGTCAGAGAGATGGAGGGGGCCAAGCAAGGGGACTGCAGGGCCAGGAAGGACAAAGCAGAATGGAAGGCAGTTGTCACCTACCCAGCTAAATCTGCTGAGGGACAATCCTCTCCCCTGTGTGAGGAAGAGAGAGGGAGACAGGCCGTCAGTGCAGGAAAAGCCCTTCTAACAAGCCACCCAAGGAGATGGGCTGGGACATCAGGGCTCAGGCTGGGACTGGGCCAGGCACAGTCACCGGGGCCTGAAGCTCAGGTCTTGAGGGGCCAGAGCAGGGCTTGCTTGGCCCTGTGACCTGGTGCAGGAGGGCAGGTGTGGGTTGGGTGGTCAGCCCTGTGGTTCACAAGGCAGGACCTCTGGGGATAAAGTCAGATAGGTGGGAGTTCAACTCCTTCTTTGGTAGGTCAAGGGGGACTTTAGGGAAAGGGTTTAAGAAAGTTGGTGACTGATCACAGCATCAGAGATCTTACCTTTCCCTGTGAAGGAGGAGGTGTGCGTGGAGTCACCTGGAAAGACAGGAAAGGTGGTTGAGTGGTCAGCCCCGCTCTGCCCTGCTGGGGTGCCCAGGTAGGGACCCCACCCTCTGAAGGACCTCCCCTCTCCAAAGGAGTCTGTCTCTCAAGTACAAGGACCACCCTCCCTGAGCTGTGTCTCAGGAACAGGGCCACCCACTCTCTGCCCTCCTTCCTCCCCTCTGTCTTCTGGTTGAGCTTGAACTTCAGGGTCTTAGAATTTGAAAACATTCAGGACACCCACCGATCTCCCAGGACCCCAGGAGATGTTCATGAGAGGGTGGCCTGCCAAGGGGGCCCCCGGCAGGGGACCTGGCGCACCCCGCCCTGCCCTCCCAACACCCACTGAGCCGCGCTGGAGGAGGGTGACTTCACTCCTTATTGGAGCTTCAGAGCACCCCTTAACTAGCCAGCCGCGGCGAGGCCCCCCGCCCGCGGCCGCCCTGTCTACTTGCAGAAGCAGCAGTGTCATGGGACACTCTGTGTCTGGGGGCCTGGCTGGGGCTTGGTGGGTCAGGGGTCGCCTGTGGGCATGCTCCCATCCGATTCCACACTGCTACCACGGCCACCCCCGCTCCACCCCTTGCCCAGCACCCCCGCCCTGCCCTGCTGCCATACTTACAATGTTCTTGAAAAAGTGGACTACAGGGTTTTCATCTTGGGACCGGGACTTCTGGGGCAGGGAGCCGTAGTGGCCGGTCCTGGCCGCGTGGTGGGCATCCTGCAAGGCAGAGGGGCATGGGCGGGTTAGGTGGGTTCCTCCTCAGCTGCTGGACGTGGGAGAGACGGTTCTCAGACCCTACAGGTGAACCCGTGATTGGAGGGGACAAGCCCACCCCGCCTCCGCTGGAGTGGCTGCACGGCGTGGACTCGTCTGTCCCTCAGTCAGTGTCCGTGGGGTGGTGTCGAGGGCCTGCACACTATGGGGTGGGCACTGCCCGATCGTGGGTGAGTCGGGGGCAGAGGGAGTGGGGGCTGCTGGGGAGGTGGTGACCTGAGCCAGCCCGGAAGAATGGAGCTGAACTTTGTAGGTCAGTAAATACTGACCGGCCACCACCACCCCCACCCCCACTGCGCCCAGCCCAGCGCTTGCTGCTGATCCAGCCGCGGTGATCCACACTGCTCTGAGAAGGGCCTCACCAGGGCTCTCTCCATGTGTGGTCCATCATTCTGGGAGCTCGGCCCAGCAATAGGCAGGCCTCTGCCTGCAGATGGCGGGACCCCTGTGTGGGCTGGCCTCTCCCGGCAGGGGCTGCACATGAAGTGCCTTGGACGGGGAATGAAACCCCGTTCGCCCACACCACAGGGGAACCCCACCACTGAGCCCCTAGTCCTCTGCAAGGCGGCCGGACCCCTGTGTCTCTGCGGGGCTGGGAAATCATGCTGAGGGCGTACCCCCTGGGCAGCCTGGCTCCGGGGCATGTGGGAACCCTTGGAGGAGAGTATTCTCCTGGGCCCCGAGTGTTGCCCCTGCCTTCACAGGGCCTGACCTCAAGGTCACGCTGAGACGCTAGCCCAAACGGGGGTCCTGAGAGCAGCCACCTGGCTGTCATGCCCCATGCAGCCCTGCCTTGCCCCTCCACTGTCCCCACCGGGGGTCTCCCTGCATAAACCCCTGCCCCTCCAACAGGAGAGCCAATGGACAACGAGGAACAAAACCACAGTGAAGTCAAGCCAGCGGCGAAATCAGAAGCTAGGGAGCTGGAAGCAACTTCCTGGGAGACCAGTGCTTGTGCGTGTCTGGTAAGTTTCCACTTCCCCAGAGTCTGCCTGCAGTCTGAGGGGCTAATGCTTATGAGCGCCTTGTCATGTTTATGTGGTGCTTGTCTGTTACACCTGTGCTTCCCGTGAGACTCCAGTCCTGGCAGTCGCTGTGCCAGTGGTTGGAGGTCGAGCCCGCTCAGAGGTGCTGCGGGAGAAAGGTCTGGCTTAACCGGCTTCTGAAAAGCCCTCCATTGCCAACCCCGGGCAGCACGGTGCTGTGCTGGCGCTTGTGGGTCTGCGAGCCTCCCATAGCAGCGGGGGAGGGGGCGTGTAGGAGAAGACATTTGTCAGGTGTCATCCTAGGCCCGGAAGTCACGACGATTGTTTGTGGTTCTGTCCCCTTATGCTTCCCCAGGTGGCTACACCGCGACTCTGAACCGGAGAAATGGCATCCCGTTGTAGTGAGGGTCAGTTGCGTGGGCTTCTGCTCATAGCCACCCATGCACAACAGAAAGAAACGCGTCCGGTCCTGCCAATCGTCACCCTCACTGCTCTGTTGGGGCCTGTGCTGCAGGGCAGCGCTGGCAGACTACTCTGCAAAGATGGAAGCTCTGTGTCACCCTGTGGAGGGTCCTGTAGTCGGGGAGCCCAGAGAGGACCCACGCTGCCAAGCTAGCCAGGGGCGAGGCAGGCACAGCCTTCGGAGCAGAATGGAGGTGGGGGCCGGCCACTCAGGGTGGCCCTCTGTTGCCTGACACAGCTGTGAAGTAGGCTGGGCTTTGCCACATGTGGTACTGGGACAAATGGACAGACAGACAGAAAAGAGTCTCACCCCAGGTTCAGCCCCACCGACTCAAAGCGGGGCTTACAGTGCTGCGTGCCGCACACGCCTGTTCAGCTTTTGAGAAGAGACCCTTCCCGACAGGGGAGGGCAGGCCTGACAACAAAACACCACCCATGAAAAGTCATGCGTGAACATGCTGGAGTCACCAACACTTAACGACGGAATTCAAATGCCCCCTAGGTTGATTTCATTTAAATCAAGTCAATTACGTTCAGTGTCATCGAATGTGCCCGAGAAGGGCACAGAGTCCAGCGACAGGCGGCGGGCAGCGTCTCCTCGTGGCCCAGAGGACCTGCAGGTAGAGGCACCAAACCCACCTGTGGGGCTGGCCCCACCCCTGCCACCCTCCAGGACAGAGCCCACGGGCTCTCTAGGGCGTCCTGGGCGGTCACTGTGGGAGCAGACGGCCTCAGCTTGCTCAGGGGGAACTGCTGTGACCTTTTGGTGAGCAGCTGCCGCTTTAACCGCGGGCCCCGAAGACAACAAACCACCAGGTTGCCCTTCACACCCTCAAAACAGGCGCAGCCCTGGAACGGCAGACACGCCTTCAGAGATGAGCCCAGGGCGCCTGTGATGTAGCGATGCTCACTGCTGCCACCGGGCAAAGGCACGTTGGATCCACGGGGGCGGCGGGAAGGGAACACCCTGACACCGCCAAGGGCGGTACCGTCCCCACTTGCGGTGGCAAAGCGAACTCACACAGCAACTCTGAGCACACCCACCTCCCACCCGCGGCGAGGAGCTGTCACCTGCTACCAGGGAGGTGTTTGCTATGGAAGTTAGACTTTCCTCTGCGGGGAAAGTCGTTGAGATCTGAAAGGGAAAGTTATGTTCACACAACCACCTGCCAGTGAGGGTCCATCCCAGCCCGCTGCTCCCCCAGCACGCACACCGACAGCCAGCCAGCAGCCCAAGTGTCCTTCCACAGGTGAGTGGCCGCACAGGGGCGGCATCTGCTGCCGTGACATCCGGAGGAGCTCACTCAGCAGAAGCCACCTCCACTCGGAGCCTTGCTGGTGTGGCAGCACCCACCTGGCGAGGCTGTCCCACTGTGCGCCCATGAGCACCCCCCCTCGGGAAGCTGGACTCCAGAGGCGCCCCTCAGAGGCTGCAGGGCTGGGGGCCGGGTGTGCGGAGACAGAGCATGGTAGGAGGCTGTCTTTCTGGGTGGTGCGTCCATCCTTTTGAAGAAGTGTGATGGTGGTGCCGGTGAAGCCTGGAGCCACCAGTCGCAAGATCAGAGGCCCAAGCCCACCATAGCAGCTTCCTGTCCGGTGGGCACCCTGCAGAGTAGGCCGTCTCTGCCTTGTGGGATTGTCCTCAGTTGGAATGGACTGCACTGCAGTGGGATTTTGACTTTGGGCATGGTTTTTTTTTTGGGGGGGGGTGTTGATAGTCACATGGCTTGCTACAGAATACATCCCCTATAGCCCAGGGAGGGCTGCCCGTGTGCACCGGTTAGGGTCCATTCCTGTTCCTCCTGAGACTGTCTGATATGGCCTCTCACTACATGTAGTCGAGCGGAGGCCAGGGGGAAGTGGACCCTCAGGGAGATGGACGACTGGCACGGGCTCAAAGGTACCAGCAGTGAGGCTGACGGCGCAGGGTCGGGCAGTTTCGTTGGGGGGGCTTGGGGTCGCTATGGGTCTGACCTGACTCCCTGGCACCTGCAGCTACCCCAACCCCCAGGGTGAGGCGTCCGCCTCACCGAATCTCCCCTCTGCGACCCCTTACTCCCACTGCCGACCTGGCCCTGAACCTCCTGCTGTCAGACTGTCCGTTTTAGCTCCACCAATTCCAAGTCTTTCCAACTAAACTTAACTCTTAGAGGACAGCCGACCCCTTGTCCCCAAATGCCAGGCAGATGGTCCACGCAGTGGAGATACATAAATTCAAAGTGAGCAGGGAGCAAAGAGGCCCTGCTCCTCCCACTGGAAGCTTCCAGTAGCTTCACGGTCCAGCTGGGGCCACACCAGGCCATAGGGGCTGGCAGCAGACATGAGGCTGGGGTGCTGGGCCCCATGGCTGGGCCCCTCCTCTGCCATCAGTTCCCTTGCCTTGACTTCAGTTCCCTCACCAAGAAGGTCTTAGCCCCCACCTGTGCCGACATACCTGCAAGGGGCCAGGTAACCCTGGGATGCCTGAAAGAAAGAGCTTTGTCCCTTAGTTTTCATGACAGTGGTCAGTGGCCCTGCTCATGTGAAGTCCAGAAGTCCAGCGGAGTCGTGGGGGATAGGGGGGAGCACTCTGGCTGGCTCTGAGATTTGGCCTCTGTCCATATGCCTTCCCTGGGAGTGGTGGGGGTGGGGGAATGGTTAGGTAGTACCTGGTGAGGTAGGAGCGATTCAGGCCACCTGGGCGTGCCCTCTGTTCTGTGGGGACCAGGGGATGAAGACCATGTACGACCTTGTCTTAGCCATGGCTTTCAGGGGTGGGGGGTAGCCAAGGAGTGAATCAAAACTCATTCAAGGGGAGCAGACTAGAATCCTACCTGACTTGTCTCCCCGCATAAAAGCACACACTTTCTAAATTCTCCCCTCAATTTAAAGCAAATTCTGGGCCAAGCATGGCCGATCATTTCCAGTCTTTTTTAAAACAAATCAATAAATCTCTCTTCCCAGGAAGAGGGCCCAACACAGTTAGTTGGCTGTTACTAAGTAACCAATTTCCTCAGCGGCGATCCTGCTACTCACCAGCAGGTGGCACCCTCACACAGGGCGCGTACACACAGCCCAGCGGGTGGGTTTGCATGTTCCACCAGGGAGGGGCTGGAGTCCGCTGCGAGGGTAGATCTACGTCGGGGGTCGGCTGTGGGCGGTCTTACATGTAGGGGTTGTGCAGGGGCTGGGTCTGATGCACACAGCAGAAAACGCAGGCGTCCCTGGGAGGTGCGGGTGGGGGGACGACTAGCTCTTCAGGCGCACACAGGGCTGCTGCCTGGACCCCTGCGACTCCCTGGCTTCCTGACGCCAACCACCCAGACTGGCCGGCCCAGCAAGCATGAGCCGCCCCGTCCCCCTTCCCTCCCCACATGTCCGCACACCTCCACACCCCACTCTTCTCTGGTGGGTGCAGACGCACAGCCCCCGGAACCAGAATCGACATGGGCCCAGGCCGCCAGGTGCACTCGGACCGGGCATGGCGTCCCAGAGACAGCCCGGCCCGGGCGTGTC